AAGTGTCTCCACTCCTGTAACTGGCCCATCAAATCCTCCACCTGCAAGTCCAGCTGTGGTAGATGCGTTCGAATCTGCTCCGTTTGACCCGAAAAGGAAGTAGGATAGAGTAACTTCTTTTTTTTTTTTTTGTAATGAAACAACTGAGGCGAATGATAAACGTGGATGATATAACCTTGTTTCTTAAGCTGTGTCATTTTTATTCTGCTTCGACTGAGTATGCTTGTATGCTTTTGATATTGCACACACTCTATTGGATGAGACTTTTTTTTTTTTTTGAAGAATAGTACCCTGCCTGAGGGTTCCTTATCTGTTTTAGTCCGAAGCAAAGCAAATAAGATGTGAAGAGGAGATCTCCTCTAACGGTTTATCTGATAATAGAGGATTGTTTTTTCCTTTGGTAATTTAACCGTCAAAGGAACCCTTCTTGAAATGAATTTGGGTGAAGCAAGTATATTTATACTTGTTTCTCCTGTAGTTTTTCGATGTGGGACAATCTCGTGACTTATATTACCGAACTTAGAATCAGTAAATATGAGGGTGAGAGTAAAGTTTGCTGAGCCGGACACTTTGGGTCCGAGATAAATGAATTACTCTCCGGCGCTGAGCCTGAGGGGAGGTTTTCTGAGCCGGATCCTTAGAGTCCAAGGAGAATAAATTACTCCCCGGCGCTGAGCCTGAGGGGAGGTTTGCTAAGCTGGACACTTAGGGTCCGAGGCGAATAAATTACTCCCCGGCACTAAGCCTGAGGGAGGTTTGCTGAGCCGGACATTTAAGATCCGAGGTGAATGAATTTCTCCCCGGCACTGAGCCTAAGGGAGGTTTTGCTGAGCCGGACATTTAGGGTCCAAAGCGAATGAATTACTCCCCGACGCTGAGCCTGAAGGGAGGTTTTGCTGAGCTTGGACACTTAGAGTCCGAGGCGAATGAATTACTCCCCGGCGCTGAGCTTGAGGGGAGGTTTACCGAGCTGGACACTTAAGGTCTGAGGCGAATAAATTACTCCCCGGCGCTAAGCCTGAGGGGAGGTTTGCTGAGCTGGACACTTATGGTCTGAGGCGAATAAATTACTCCCCAGCGCTGAGCCTGAGGGAAGTTTGCCGAGCCGGACACTTAGGGTCCGAGGTGGGTTAGTTTCTCCTCGGCGTTGGGCCTGAGGAGAAGTTTGCATATATATATATATTCTTCTCTTTTTTCTTTTTCAAACAACTTATCATGACGCCGAGGACTCAAAAATGATAGAAGGCCAAGAAAGCGAGTAACAATGGCTGGGAAGTTTCCTATTTGTTTACTTTGGAGACTTTCCTCCATTGATACTCCCTTCTTGGCAACCAAATGTAATGGACTACGCATATATTAACCACATTTCTTTTCTATTTTTATCCGATGTGGGACAGAGAGTTTTAACCATAGGTCAAAATGCGTGCTTTTTAATAACTTGCTTCCAACATTGCTTTGCATAAAAGCATAAAATTGCATAATCACAGTGTAGTATAAAAATTTCTTTGCATAAAAATTGCTAATGCATAATGCGACGCAAAATTGTATAATCACAGAATGGTGGTATGGCCCCCATTTTTATGGAAAGAAACAAATGGAATAGAAGCAAAATAAAGAAAAGCTTGGCTGACAAACTTTGTGAAGAATTCTTAATAAAATTGACAAACTTATCTAATGGAAATACCTTTTAAGGTGTATTACATTCCAAGGACACGCAATGGGACGTCCGTCAACTTCGGCCAAACGATATGCTCCCTTCCCCACTACTTCGGTAACCCTGTAGGGTCCGGTCCAATTAGGTTCCAGTTTCTTTACATGAGCTGTCTCTTGCTTCAGAACCCAATCGCCTACCGCAAAGCTCCTGAACTGACACGTTTGTTATAATTGTTGCGCAGTTGCTGCTGATATGAAGCAAACCTAATTGCTGCAGCATCCCTTTTTTTCATCCAGGAGATCAAGACTACGTTCGAGCTACTGACTATTGTTTCCTTAAAGCAACAAGGATGTCCGAAGGGTTAGAACTGCCGCTTCAGTTGGGATCACAGCTTCGGATCCATAAGCCATGGCAAAGGGACTCTCCCTCGTGGGCCGCCGTGGTGTGGTTCGATATGCCCAAAGCACCTGAGGGAGATTCTCGTACCATTTTGTTTTGAGTTTCTCTAGCTTCTTCTTTAAACAACTAAAAATGGTTCGATTAGTTATTTCAGCCTGTCTATTCCCTTGTGGATGACTGACTGCAGCTACCTTTTGTACAATTCCATGCTCAGCGAAGAATTTTCTTGTACTTTTATTGTCGAGGTTCTTACCATTGTCCATTATAATGACTTTTGGGACCCCAAACCGGTAAATGATGTTGTTCCAAAGGAAACTTTTTACCTGCTCATGCATCACACTTGAGTAGGCCTCGGCTTCTACCCATTTAGTAAAATAATCTATAGCCAGTAGCACGTACTCCTTTTGTTCCACGGTCTTGGGTAAAGGGCCCACCATATCAATCCCCCATTGCGCGAATGGCCATGGATTTGCCATTACATGCAAATCTTTGGCAGGTTGATGCTTCATGGGACCGTGGCGTTGACATTTGTCACATCTCCGAGTATACTCTTCTGCATTCCGGGCTAAGTACGGCCAGAAGTAGCCTTGAGTTAGAACTTTATGTGCAAGAGATCTACCCCCAGAATGGTTGCCGCAATCTCTATCATGGATTTGTTTCAACACCACAAGAGCCTCAGTAGGGCTTAAACATTTCAGGTAAGGACCTAAAAATGACTTCCGGTATAACTGGTTGTTAATGATGGCATATTGAGCTGCGGTGAGTCGGAGCTTCCGTGCTTCGGGCTTCTGGTTTGGAAGAATTCCATGCTTCAGGTAGGCTTCCAGTGGATCAATCCAGCATGGTTCTCGAGGAATAACTGGAATCACCATTACTTCTTGCTAAAGATTAATGTTGGGCTCGTCCAAGACGTCAATCGGCACAATCCGAGTCAGATCTTCATTTGAGGATGACGCTGCTGTGGCCAATTGATCTGCTTCGGCATTCTTAACACGAGGTACCTGATAGAATTCAATTTGATCAAACCCCCGTGTAACATTCTCTACAGCTTCTTTATATGTTTTCATTCTTTCCTCTTTGGGATGGTACTGACCTGTCACTTGATTTATAACAAGCTGTGAGTCACTAAAAACCTTTAAACAACGTACCTGGAGGCTGCTGGCCAATCGAAGACCAATAAGTAACGCCTCGTACTCAGCCTCATTGTTCGTAGGAGGGAATTTCAAGCAAATAGACTGCTGCAACTTGGTGCCTTCGGGTGTTCACATAACAACCCCTACCCCTGCACTTGTTTGATTCGAGGAACTATCGACCCGAAGCTCCCACTGTGGTTCAGGGGGTTCCGGCTCTTCGGGAGTGTCTTCATAGTTGAGAAGAAAGTCTGCTACGGCTTGTCCCTTGTGCGACACCTTCGACTTATAAGTTATGTCGAAGGAACGAGCTCAATAGCCCATTTGGTAATTCTCCTAAATAGATTGGGCTTAGAGAGTATACCCCGTATAGGATAGTTGGTGAGTACCACAATGCTGTGAAATTCAAAATAATGCCTAAGCTTCCTCTTGGCATAGACCAAGGCTAAGATTATTTTCTCTGCTTTGCTATATCGTGTCTCCGCATCTATCATTGTCTTACTTGTGTAGAAGACTAGATATTGTCTCTTTCTATCCTTTCTAATCAATGCTGCACTTATCGCTATACTAGAAATCGCCAAATACATAATAAGAACCTCCCTGGGTTTTGGAGCGGATAGAATTGGTGGTTCGGCCATGTAACCTTTCAATTGATTGAGGGCCTCCTGCTGCTAAGGACCCCATATATCTTTATTCTTAGATCTTATAGCATCGAAGAATGGTTTGCACTTATTTAACAATCGGGATATAAACCGGCTGAGGGCTGCGATCTAACCAGTAAGAACTTGTACCTCCCTGCGATTTTTTGGTTCCTGATTCTGGATAAGGGCCTTAGCCTGAGCTGGACTTACCTCTATCCCTCTTTTATTCACTATGTGGCCGAGGAATTGACCTGATGATACCGCAAAGGAGCACTTGGATGGATTCAGCTTCATGTTGTAGTTCTTCAAGGTATTGAAAACCTCCTGGAGATGCTTTAGATGGTCTTCCTTCTTCACACTTTTGACCACCATGTCATCTATATATGCTTCAATTGTCTTTCCCAATAGATTATCAAAGATCTTGTTGACAAGACGTTGATAAGTAGCTCCAGCATTCTTCAGTCCGAAGGGCATGACCCTGTAACAATGAGTCCCCTTTTCTGTAATGAAAGCCGTTTTTTCTTTATCTTCAGGGTTCATAGGAATTTGATTGTATCCCGAGTATGCATCAAGGAATGTCAGCCTCTCGTAGCCGGTGGTAGCATCAACCATCTGATCTATCTTGGGCAGAGAGAAGCTATCTTTAGGGCAGGCTTTGTTAAGGTTGGTATAGTCTAGACAAACCCTCCACTTTCCATTCTTCTTCTGTACGACCACCACGTTTGACAGCCACTGTGGATATTGCACTTCTCGAATGAAACCTGCTTGCAACAACTTGTTCACTTTTTCAGTTATAATGTGATTACGTTCAGGGGCAAACCTTCGGTGTTTCTGCTTAACCGGTTTGAACTCCGGATCTACCTTCAGACTATGGCAGGAAACTAAAGGATCGATCCCTACCATGTCCTAGTGATCCCATACAAAAGCATCTGCATTGCTCCGAATAACATCAATTAATGCCTCCTTTTCTTCGGACGTGGAGGAAGAGCCTAAATAAGTGACCTTCTGAGGGTCGCCGAGGATAACTTCCACGGCTTCAAGGGTCTCCTCGGTGGGCTTCGCAATTTCCTCTTCCTCTTCTACCTTGAGATACTTGGGCAGAGGGCTCTGTAATTGCTATTTGGGTATATTTTTGGAAGCCGCACCTGGTTATTGCTCAGTAGACACCTTCTTTGCTTAAGCCTGTGTCAACATATAGCATTCCTTCGCAGCAACTTGATCGCCCCATAGAATAATCACTTCTTTTCCGTCCGGAGATAAGCACCGCATCACCTGGTGAAGGGTGGACGGAACTCCTCTCATCCGGTGTATCCAGCCTCTTCCCATGATAAGATTATAAGAAGGATGAATCTCTGTTAAAACAAAGTTCTCCTTCAGAGTCCTCTTCGCCGCAGTTACGGACAAGTCTATTACTCCCAGGGGATCTACTCTTGTACCATAGAATCCTATCAACGGGCTGGAGGTAGGTCGAATAGATGATGACGGGATCTCTAGCTGCTCAAAGACCGTCTTTGTGATAATGTTGGCACTACTTCCTGGATCTATCAAAACCCTCTTGATCATACAATTGGACACTAAAAGACTGATGACCAATGGATCCTCGTGGGGGAGTTGAACTCTGGATAGGTCGCCATCTCCGAATCCAATACTAATGCTACCCGAAGCGATAGCATTGACCGAGGATATCTTCCTGAGCTTGTGGGCTGCCCTCAATCTGGATCTGTATACCCCCTCGGACTCTTAATCATCTTCAGACCTGTCATGTATTGCATTAATGACTTTTACTTATGTACCTTCCACCTTGCGGGGATAGACCTCGCGGGGCTTTGCATATTCCTTTGTCATGAGGTAATCCGCCAACTCACCTCTGGCGATCATATTCTCCACCTGTCGCCTAAGGGATCTGCAATCATTGGTTGAATACCCATAATCTCAATGATAAGCGCAATGCTTACTTTTGTCCCTTTGCTCCAGGGGTTGCTTTATTGGCTGCGGAGTTGTGAACTTCATCTTATTCTCTTGGAAGAGCTGAGCCAAAGTAGTTCGGAAAGGTGTAAATCCTTCCTCTACCCTTTGCCTCTTCTCAGGTGCCTGGGTGATCAGCGTTGAGGAACGTTGGCTTTTCTGAATCTTTGAATTTGGAATTCTTTCTTGAGGCTTGTTTTCCACCGTCACGAAGGTGGCGTGCTGCGCTCGGTGGGCTATATTCTCCTCAAGCCGAATGTAGATCTGGGCCCTGGCATTGAGAGTCTGTATATCAGGAGGAGAATATTTGACCAAGGAAGTGTGAAACTTCGTCCCCTGAATCATCGCAAGTTTAAATGTCTCTATAGCAGTCGCGGGATGACAATCTGCTATTTCTGAGGCTTCCATATTGAATCTTGATAAGAAATCCTGCAATGTTTCCCCTTCTTTTGCCTTACGGTGAAGAGACTGGCAATGCTCTTCTTTTGCTTCTTATTTCCGCAATACTGTGCCAGGAACATAGTGCACAGAGTTACGTAATCTGGGATGGACTTATGCGGTCTATTCCTGAACCACTCTAGTGCTGCTCCTGTTAAGCTAGTAGGAAAAACTCTGCACATACAAGGGTCATTACGATCATCCAAAACCATCTTTTGAGCGTAATGATCTAGGTGCCGAGAAGGATCCCCCGTTCCATCAAACTGGGTGAAAGAAGGCATGGTAAATTTCTTGGGCCTCTCAACCAGATACACATCGTCAGTGAAAGGAGTTTTGACCAAGGAATTTTTGTGTTCTCTAACCATCTCAGCAGGTGTCTGAATCTTCAGGAGTCTTTTCTCATCAAAGGCATCCTGAACACCTGCACCATCTGGGATTCCATTGGACCATACCGTGAGCTTATGGCTGGATGCGACTTGCTCATCCTGTGTGCGACGAGGGACGTTGTCTGAAGCTGCAGCCTCGGATCTTGCCCTCCGTTGTTGCTGAACCTCATTCGGCTGAGCCTCATTGGGTTGTGCCCCATTAGGTGGAGCCCCATTAGGTGGAAGCCCGGTAATCGGAGGAATATTCTGATTAAGGGGTGCTGTTGTGTCACCCACTGGTGGCGGTGGTACCAACTGAGCCATCGCCATTTGCAAAGTGTTATTCTGTTGTTGAAGCAAGGCGATCTGAGCCACGCTTGCTTCGTTTGCCTGACGAAGTACGTCAAACTGGTGTAGAAACTCTTCACGCATCTTCTGCATCAACTCCGTCTGTTGATCCGTTGAAGATCCTCCGTTCAACATTCTGGATGGTAGTTGCAGGATTCACCTGTGAAACAAGAGTGGGAATATATTTGCACACGATTCCCACAAACGGCGCCAAAGTGTAGGTGCAAAATTTCGCTCAACCAATTACGATCGAGAGAAAATAATACAACACACTCAACAAATAATAAGAATAAACAAGAACAGTGTCTATTGAAGAATTGAATTGCTTGCCCCTTTATTGGAGGTCTAGGCCTCTATTTATACACAAAAGTTGGTAGAATTATGCTAGGACTCGCGTTATTTGTCCTCCAATTCTTTCCATATATGACTTTCTTTACAAATAGAGTTCTTTCCATTGTATGATATTTCCTATGTAGAATTTGCTTTGAATAAAAACTTTCCATCCGGGTCAACTCCTTTGTTAAATAGGACTAAGCCATATTTAATTATACTTGGGCCGGATGCGGTTTGGTGCAAGTGACTTGACTAATGGATCAATACTTCAACAGCGGTGATGTTGGGCTGATCGGTACTTTTGTCTGGCTTTGGAGGCCCAACATAAATGATAATGGGTTAAAGCACAACGTAACTTGGGCTTGATCCGGATGGGTTTCTGAGATCTCTTAAATGCAGATTTGTATAATGGTGACGTGTCTCATTCTTATTGGAGGGAAATTTTTCCCTCCACAAACACGAACCCTTAAGGTCGCTCAACAACCCGACTAATCTCCGAAGATTTGGAAGGGCGTCTCTCAACCCGGGCCGGGTAAGTCACTACATAGGTAGCGAAGACTAACCACAAAGAACATCTAGTGAGACTCAATCTCATACCTTCGACTTGCTAAATTCTAAATTCCAACGAGTAAATCGCTAAATTATATTCGAAGTAGATAATGTGAAATATTATTGATCAATGTATAAATAATGAGAAAATGAAACCACCGAGCTAAACAAGTGGTCATTGTCTCAATACAGGGCTGACTCGACCCTTAGGTGACTTAAGCGGTTGCCTAAGGCCCAGCCAATAGGAAGGCCTCAAAATTTTAAAAAAATTTTATTTTAAGTTGTACTATAATTGTTTCCTAATATTGTTAAACTCTAATAAATATAAAAAAAAAAATTATATTAGGCCTTAAATATTTATATTCTAAAATAACTTTTTTGTCTATTCACCACTCGTTTCGATTTTATATTAGGTCTCAAATATTTATATCCTAAAATAACTTATTTTTAATCTTTTCTATCTCTCTTCATTCATTCCGATTTTATATTGGGCCTCAAATATTTATATTCTAATTTAACTTCTTCTTTTTTTTTCTCTTTTCTCTCTCCTCCCTCATTATGTTGAACTCTAATTGATTCATAAATTTAATATTAGCCTCAAAAGATTTACATCCTTATATGACTTTTGTTTCCTCCTTTTTTCTACTCTCATTCACGTTTTACAATAAAACAAATATAGAAATTTAATATTAGGCCCCAAAAATCTGTATCATTAAATATTTTTTTCCCTCTTTCTTTCTCTCTCATTCATGTTTTTTATAATAGCACTAAAAATATTTTTGGGTAAGATACACCAACAGTAAAATATTAAATATATATTTAACGTTGTTGTTTGGAAAAATAACGAAAACTTTTCATAATTTTTTTTTTAATTTTTAATTTTTAATTTTTATGTTTTATGTTTTTCTTTTCAATAAGTCTTCTCCTCTCACTCTCATTACAACTTTACAGTTATTATGAACGCATTTTTATTCTATAGAAAAATTTATAGAAGTATTGGATTTGGGTTTTCCAAATCAGGTTAAATGGTTCTTTTTATTTAATTATTTTTTAATTTTATTAACTTTTATTATTATAAATTTGGGTGTATATATATTTGTATATTTTGTTTTTGAGTTATGACTAATTTTTTTTATATTACTAAAAAGACTACTTTTTTTCTTTTTTTTTCTGCCTAACTCCCCAAATTAGATTGTTAAAAAGGTTACTTTTTATTTATTTTTTGCCTAAGGCTCCAAATTAGATTGAGCCGCCCCTGTCTCAATAAATCACTACAAAATAAAAACAAAATTCTATGTCTCAATAAATCACTACAAAATAAAAACAAAAATCTAGTCATTAGAATTTAGAATAACTATCAAAAATCAGTTAATATATTCATGTACTCCTCCTAGTTGGCCGAGGAAAAAAGTCAAGTTTTGTTTTATTGTTTCTTGGTGTTGAGGTGACAAGATCGATGGTACTCATAGCCAAAAGGTTCCGAGTTTCACACCACACCTTGGTAGTGGATTCAACACTTTCTTACTCCCTTTTTCAATCCCTTGTACTTTAACTTTAAGCATTGAAAATTTACCATTGACTAATCTAAATTATTAAACTCGGTACTTATCATTTACCGGTGGAATTGGTCCATGGAAACAATTCGTACGTTGACAAGTTTTCTTTCTTTTCTTTTTTTCAAAAGTAAATTACAAAAGAGTCCATATACTACAAAATACTTATTTTTTTATATTTTTAGTTTCATACTGTATTTGTCCATAATTTGGAATTGATTATGGCTGATTTTGAAAGGGGGAGACAAAGGAGGTTATATAAGCAAATACTTTTCTTTTTTCTCACAACGAGAACATGCATGGTTGTAGAATTTATATCAAAGTATTGAAGAAATATTAGAGTTCAATTAAAACATGAATTATATGAAAAAATGATATGTGCAGAATTTTTAATTGCTTACTTAAGAGTGCACGAGCACAAAATGAATAATATTATATAAAAAATGGTTGGATTGACAACGTAAAATTTTGAAAATTTTAAAAAATCTTTGTAACATTACAACAAACAACTTCGGCTCACTTACAATCACGGTCTCCAATCATGTATAAAGAAAAAGATAACATTTGTCTACTCACTGGTGAGTACGTCGTTCGTACATACCACTAATATTAATATAATTACAAATGCGCAAATGATTCGTAAATCGAGAAAGTGATAAATAAAAAAAATAAAATAAAATTTGAAATAAATTCAGTCGTCCTCTTTTTATCACTTTCCTAATTTTGTAATTACGAATTATTTATGCATTGTAACTGAATCACATCAGTCATTAACTATGAATGACTTACTTACTGATGAGCAGACAAGTCTTGTCTGAAAATTTATATATTCACATCCTTATCTGAGCTTAATACTCTTTGTAATGTTTAAAACTACCTCATTGCTTCTCTTTCTTGTCTTTTTATTATTGCCCTTGAATCATTAAGTTTGTAGTGAATTTTGTGCAAAAATTGCTAATGTAGGAGGTGGAGACGTTGACTATGGAGAAGGAAATTGATTTTTTTGGTTTTATTTTTTATTTTTGAGTTATAAATGAAAGTGGTATTTCACCAAATTTAAAAGGACGTCAATGATATTAACCTTTTGTTTTTTATTAAAAAAATGCCCATATCAACTTCACAAAAATAAATACAGTACGTACGTAGCATGTTTTTGTAGACTTTGTAATTTGAATATTTTGAACAATGTTGCATTATTTCTTCAGTAACAGAGAAACAAATGAAGAGTTTGCACAATATAGAAGGTTGAAACAAATGGTATATCTGTCCATGTATAACAACAGTCCAAATAAAAATTTAAAACACATTTTTGTTAAAGTTTTTGTTTGTCCAAAAACTTGATAGAAATGTAACGTCCTCTGCAATCTTCATCAAATCAAATATTTAAAATTTTATCCACCATGTGAAGTGTGACCCACGAGTTCTGCTGGTCCAGTCAAATTAATGCAGCATCCATAAACTTGACTTACAAGTTGATCTCATAATTTTATGCACATTGGTTGTTGCCACTCATAATTAAATCAATATCCACACCAAGTCTTCGTCCCTTTTCCCCAAAACATCATATTCTTATCATTATTCAATTTTTAATGGATACTTTTTCAATCGTTCAACATTTAAAAAAAAAAAAATTAATTGTCACCATTTCTTAATTACTTATCTTTCAATTTTCTTGTTTAATTAGCTAACGTTCATATTATGTACTATTATGTGTGAAGTGTGAACTCCTTTACTTTTCTCTTATGTACTATTATGTGTG